GGGAGGCGGGTGACAAGGTGGTACAGTGTGAGGTACATCGGGGGGGGGGGTTCTTGGCGAGGAAATCGGGGGGGAGCGCGGCACGGTAGCGGAGGTCACTGGTACGGAGGTGGGTGATGAGGTCAGCTACAGTGGCAAAGGCTGACAGGTCGGGGAAGAGGTAGGGCAGTGAGAGACGGCCTATAGCAGCAGTGGCAGGGGAGGAGTAGCGCGCGACTACTGCGTCGTACAGTTCCTTAGCGGTCTTATGCTGGCCGAAGTGCTCGCGCTCATCTAACGGCAGGTGGCTGCGAACGGCTAGGCGGGCGTGAGCATCACGGGTCTGCCACTCGGAGCGAGCAGTACTGTCAGCAGTAGTGGGAGGTGCGGGAGCGGCGCCTGACGTGTGGTCATACAGGGAGACATCGTCCTTGGCAGTGATCTGGAGGAACAGGTGGAGGTCATCTAACCAAACCTCAAACTTAATCGGGCGGCCCTCAGCGTCAAAGGTGAGAATAGAGGGAGTGGCCATAGTGGCAGTAGCAGTAGTAGGAACAGTAGCAGTAGTAGCAGTAGCAGTAACAGTTGCTGCTGAAGCAGTAGTACGGCAGGAACAGGAACATGAGTTGCTGCACGTGGGGCACAGTAGGGCGGCGCGGCTCGGTTCGGGCGGCGCGACTCGGTTTGGGCGGCGCGGCTCGGTTCGGGCGGCGCGGCTCGGTTCGGGCGGCGCGGCTTGGTTCGGGCGGCGCGGCTCGGCTCGGGCTGGGCTACGCGGCGGTGCGCGACGGGGGGCGTGCGCGTGGGCGGCTGTAGCGGGCGGGCCGTGGCTGTGCGTGGGCCTGACTAGCGCGCGGGCGACGGCCTAGAGGGGCGTCGCGGCAGCCTACGGGCGGGGCTGCGACGCTCTGGGCGGCGGTCGACGGGCGGCTAGGGGCTGCTCGTGGGCGGCGCCGGTCGCGCAGGCGGCTAGGGGTCGGCGCGCGCTCAGAAAAAGGCCGCGCGCGGGCTGCTAGCGGGCTACGCGCGCTAAAAAAAGGGCCGCGCGCGGCACTAGCGAGCTGCGCACGGGCAGCAGGAGGAAGAGAGGCGCACGAGGGCACACTAGGAGAGAAGCGCTCGAGGGCGCTAAATTGATACGGCGCTCGAGGGCGCTTCTAGCGGTGGGCCCTTAGGTAAGCGGTCCTAGGACTAGGACCTAAGCTCTTAATACCATGTCAGAAACAAGAAGTGATTGAACTATGAAAGATTGGAGTACAAGTATGAAACCCTAGAGTTGTGTACCCCCTAAAGGCTAACCCACAATAGCCTACACAGCAATAACATATATATAATGTTTGACAGCTGCCACTAATCGAATTCGCGTACAACAACTCGCCATGCGCCACGACCCAACAGTCACCATTTTACTTAAACTACGGATAAGACCCGACAGTACCCATGACCCCGAATCCCGACAAACCAGTACCACGAGCACAACAGTTCGCCGAAATATTACAAGCAGCACGGACCCGGGCAGCAGACGCAATAAAAAAATCGAACATCATCGCTAAACGCAACGCCGACCGCCACCGCAGACCTGTCACTTACCAGCCCGACGACTTAGTTTTACTTGACACCCAGAACCTCCGACTGCCCATCACCCCGAAACTCCGCCCCCGATACTGCGGGCCATTTCGCATAAGCCACATGCTCACACCCGTCACCGCCCACCTCCTCCTCCCTGCTGACTGGTACGTCAGCCCCTCATTCCACGTCAGCCTGCTTCGCCCTTACGTCCCGTCCACGAGCCAACTGCCACGCAATCGCCCAGCCAGCATGACCAGACCACCAACTGAACCAATCATCACCCCCGAGAAAATCCTGAGTCACAGAGTTCGCGACCCTCGAGGAGCCCGAAGGATCGAGTTCTTACTCCGCTGGAAGGACCGTACACCCACCGAAGACAATTGGGTTCCCCTTGACAGAATCGAAAATCACCCCGTCCTTACCGATTATCTGCACAGCCGAAATTTCAGGGATGTACATGCACTTTCGTAAGGAGGACCTCCTTAAGGGGGGGGGTAGTGTAAGGAAAATTCCTTCTCCTTACTTCGCATCCCTGCTCAACGCGTACATCACTGTAGCACCACAGTCAGCACCGTTACCACTCGCAACCCTCGCATCGACAAACCGCCCGCCACCTTCGCACGTCGCATCCCGACCTCACGGCTCGGCGGGTAACCCGCGCTCCGAGCCTCCGCTTCGACACTTTTTCCCAACCTCAGTCCCAGGCCCGTCGCGCGACAACCACAGTCCATTACCGTTACCACTGTAGTTTCGCTATGTATTCTTCACTCATGCCTTCGCTCATTGTACTCTTGCTTCGATAGTGCAATCCTCGTTCGTTCACTCAATTGCACTCGTAACACGCAGCCTCGCCTTCCCCTCGCCTCGCCGATCGTCTCTTTCCCCCGTCGCCATGGTGCCTCGCGGGCCGCGGTCTGCGCGTGAAGCTAGCATGGCGGCGGTCGTCGCTGGCCGCGGCGCTCTCTTTAGGCTCTAGTGATAGTGAAGAGGATGATGATGATGAAGAGGATGAGGATATGTTTAATTACATTTCCTGTAAACGTTTGTTATATCAATGCATAACTTGTTTGAAATGGTTCAGTCTTCACCAAATAGTGACGCTGATCGTTCAGTTTTTTTTTTCATATACACCCTGAAAAGTCAGTTTTTTTTTTTTTACAACAACACTGACTGATCAGCCATGAACACACTCCTAAGGTTGACCAGTCAGCCTACGCCAAAATGAATCTGAGGCCCTGCTGTACGCGCCGCACGGTTGGGAATGAATTTGAATAAGGGAATGTACCCCTTAGAGTACATGGCTAGCTAGGTCGATTCATATTCCCCTGTACTCTTATTTATATCGTTGTATTTGCATGTTTTAATTCATCTCAAGCATTTTACATTCACTCTGCTATTGAGGTCAAGAGCCCACCTAGTCTACTTATCTGCGTGCGAACCTTCCCGCGGAGATCCTGGCAGCGTTCATCAATTGATCGCAGCAAGGTCGACCAGGTCGACCTGACCATCGCGGCTCGGAACCACAAAGAATTTCTGAGAAATTTTGGCACACCGTCGAAGCACCTCCATCGCAATTGGCATCCAGCTGTTGAAATACTAGGCAAGAATCAGAAACAGGAAAGAGGGGTTTTCACTAGCAGCAGTTGAGATACATATAGGAAACCCTAATTGGGTTGTACTCGCTATAGAGTACCCCGCTGCAGGCTAGACAAACATCACATTCTGACACACCCCCATAGTCAAAGTGGGGTATAATCAGCACAACAAGCAGGCAGAGCAGTAGTTCACAAGTGTAAGCAAAGCTAGAGGCAGTCACAGAGGGCAAGTGAGGAGGAGGAGAAACTGTGAGGGCGAGAAGATGGGAGGCGACGGCTGAAGCTGCAGACACACAGGCAGCAGGAGTGCGCAGCACTGTCGCTACCAGGCTAAACCCGGACTACACGGCGACAGACGCAGCTGGCTCACTGTGCTCCAAGGAGTGCACACACTGTGGCTACCGGGCGCAGAGCCCCGGACTACTCAGGCCACAGGGGGTCGTGGCTCTCTGGACTACCAGGGGTGCTCACACTGTGGCTACCGGGCGCAGAGCCCCGGACTACTCAGGCTACAGGGGGTCGTGGCTCTCTGGACTTCAGGCGCTGCGGACGACAAGTCGGCTACCTCCGGTCAACCTCCCTCAACTGTCCTACACCCCTTTCACACACTCCCTACTGCACCTCTAGCACTGCTCACACGCCACCCCCCTCGTACCACTCCGACGGCTCCAACACATCCACCCCCCTCAGCGGCAGCTGCAGCAGTGGGAGACGGAGGAGGAGGAGGAGCAGGGGACGGCTCACACACCCGGCACCCCCATACTCTCCACCCCCAAACCCTAACACAGGTTCGCGGGCAGCAGCGGGGGTGGGGCGCGGTCAGAAGCTCGGGACGAACCGCATGCGGGCTGCCCGGGCCGCGCGGGGGCCTGGCGTAGCCCGTACGGGCCGCGCGCGGGCCTGGCGCAGGTCGCGCGGGCCTGGCGCAGGTCACGCGGGCCGCGTCGGGCGACGGGGGGCGGCGCGCGGGTCACCGGGGCAGGAAACCGCCGCGCGCTCTCGGGGCGCGCGGCGGGCAGGGCAGAAAACCGCCGCGCGCTGCGCGCTCCGAGCGCACGGCAGGAAGAAAACGGCGTGCGCCCGGGGCGCGCTACAGGCAGTAGAGCAGCGGAAGCATCGGGTGGGGACCACCCACAGGATCGACCCAGGAGGGTCGACCTGCTCTGATAGGATGTTGAAATACTAGGCAAGAATCAGAAACAGGAAAGATGGGTTTTCACTAGCAGCAGTTGAGATACATATAGGAAACCCTTATTGGGTTGTACTCGCTATAGAGTACCCCACTGCAGGCTAGACAAACATCACATTCTGACACCAGCTTCCTTGCAGGTTAGGCGAGCTGTGACGAGAAAAAACAACTCGGCGAACCAGTGGTTACGCAGAAACCTTGAATCGCTGGATTTTCAATTGGTGCGCAATTGTAAAACGAGATCTGAGCGAGATATTACAAATCGTTAGCTGCAGTAACTCGTCGCAAACCGGTTGGGATGGGTTGGGTTGACCTGGTCGACCCAACCTGGTCAACCCGGTCGGGAAGACCCAACCCAATTCGGTCGGGTCGAACTGGTTGGTTTTTTCCGCAAAACAGCCTTCCTAGAAATGAGGGATCGGGGGGTGGTCGACCCGACCTCTTTGGGTCGCAACACGTTGTAAAACCGAGACCCCCTCCCCTCGCGTCACCTCCCTAGATATGGTAGTCACACTATATGATCACGTGCCTTCATTGTTCTGTCAATTTATTCAGTCACAGCTTCGTTAATCGTTTTCCGCGCAACTCTGTTTTACAACTCATTGCAGAGATTCTGAATCAAAATATCTATCATGCGGCATGTGACTCTAAACAAATTGCTAATTCAGCTACGGCCATGCATGCGCATAGATTCCTTTGGACCGTAGACGATTGAACAATTGCGCAGCTTCATCCCGCGTAGCATTGAAGCGAGACTGGTACCAATGGAAGTCAAGCATGGTCCAATGGTGGTAGTGTACCTCCACAAACAACTCATCCACTATTCCCTCTAAGCCAGGTACACCCAGCCAATCTGCAAGAACAGAGAAACGGGAAATTTCACGAAATAGGAGGGTTTTGCACATAACAACGTGCATCAAAATCATAACAGCACTCTTGCGGGGCATCTAACCATACAGGCGGGGAAAGGCCCTTCGTGCAGCAAGTGAGGCTCGAAGAAAAAGGTAAAGGAGCAGCAGCAGCACGCCACTTACAATTGAGTAGTGGCCACTCAGCGCCTTCTATGTCCATCTTGACCACCACAGTGTCTTCTGGGGTGAGTCGCAGCTCCTCCAGCATCCACCGCGTGGCGTTGATGGTGTTCTGCCACAGGTAGGGGAGATTGGGGAGGAGGAATGAAGGAACTATTAGTCAGTACTTTCCCTTTATAGGGGTGTAGGAATGAAGAAATGAAGGATAGGTACTAGGTCTTGTGGGGAAGCGGTGACAGGTGAAAAGCAAGAGCGATGCACGACTCATCATACACATGTTTAGACCACAAGAACGATCATGAGAACGCAAATTTGTGCATGTGGGTTGGGAAAGAGTGCAGGCAAAACCACGCCTGGTTTTTAAACGCACTTGCAACTGCAGAAGCATCACCACCACCAACACTATCCCCATCACCATCACCATCAACAACACCATCATCATCACCATCAACATCAGCATCAGCATCAGCATCAGCATCAGCATCAGCATCAGCATCACCATCACCATACCAGCAGCCACAATACCATCAGCACCACCATTACCACCAGCACGAGCAGCAGCAGCACGAGCAGCATAATACATTATCTGGTTTGTCCTCCATCCCAACCAGGGTGTTGTAGAAGTGGATACGATTCAGCATCCACCCCGGGATAGGCCCGGGCCCATGCCCCTTGGGCCTGAGACGCGACCCAGAGTTTATGGCGCTCGTGTTGAGTGGCTGCCAACGAAGCACAGCAGAGCAGAGCAGAGCAGAGCAGAGCAGAGCAGAGCAGAGCAGAGCAGAGAATAGCAGAGCAGAGCAGAGCAGAGCAGAGCAGAGCAGAGCAGAGCAGAGCAGAGCAGAGCAGAGCAGAGAATAGCAGAGCAGAGCAGAGCAGAGCAGAGCAGAGTAGAGCAGAGCAGAGCAGAGCAGAGCAGAGAATAGCAGAGCAGAGCAGAGCAGAGCAGAGCAGAGCAGAGCAGAGCAGAGCAGAGCAGAGCAGAGCAGAGCAGAGCAGAGCAGAGCAGAGAATAGCAGAGCAGAGCAGAGCAGAGCAGAGCAGAGCAGAGTAGAGCAGAGCAGAGCAGAGCAGAGCAGAGAATAGCAGAGCAGAGCAGAGCAGAGCAGAGCAGAGCAGAGCAGAGCAGAGCAGAGCAGAGCAGAGCAGAGCAGAGCAGAGCAGAGCAGAGCAGAGCAGAGCAGAGAATAGCAGAGCAGAGCAGAGCAGAGCAGAGCAGAGCAGAGCAGAGCAGAGCAGAGCAGAGCAGAGCAGAGCAGAGCAGAGCAGAGAATAGCAGAGCAGAGCAGAGCAGAGCAGAGCAGAGCAGAGCAGAGCAGAGCAGAGCAGAGAATAGCAGAGCAGAGCAGAGCAGAGCAGAGCAGAGCAGAGCAGAGCAGAGCAGAGAATGGCAGAGCAGAGCAGAGCAGAGCAGAGCAGAGCAGAGCAGAGCAGAGCAGAGAATAGCAGAGCAGAGCAGAGCAGAGAAGAGCAGAGCAGAGCAGAGCAGAGCAGAGCAGAGCAGAGAATAGCAGAGCAGAGCAGAGCAGAGAAGAGCAGAGCAGAGCAGAGCAGAGCAGAGCAGAGCAGAGCAGAGCAGAGAATAGCAGAGCAGAGCAGAGCAGAGAAGAGCAGAGCAGAGCAGAGCAGAGCAGAGCAGAGCAGAGCAGAGCAGAGCAGAGCAGAGCAGAGCAGAGAGAGGAGATTTCGGGGGCTCATTATTCGTCCCATTTCATCCAGTGAATTCCGGCAGCCCGTTAGGTGCGAACCCGAGTGGCTGACACAATCGGACACAGACACGGGGCAGAGAGCCGACGAAAAAAAAAGCGAAAATGGGACGATTTTTCGAGGCACTTAAACGCCCCGTAGGCCTTAGACGCGGCCCCGATATCATGGCACTCATGTTAAGGGGCTGACACAGTCGGCAAAGACACGGGGCAGCAAGGGGACGAGAAAGCAAGGAAGAAGCGAAACGTGATTAGAGAGAAGGGCACCACTAACTGTGGAGAGAGATTGGGTTGGTTGGAGAAAAGGCGGCGTTGCCATGCAGCGCACACACACGCGCACGCGTACGCACTGAGGCGAGACGACAAGATGAGGAACCAGAACAGGAGTGAAATCAGCAGCAGCAGCAGCAGCAGCAGCAGCAGCAGCAGCAGCAGCAGCAGCAGCAGCAGCAGCAGCAGCAGCAGCAGCAGCAGCAGCAGCAGCAGCCAAAAACTGCATAAAGCACCCAGATAGGCCCAGGAATAAGCAAAAACCACACCCCGTCCCACCCAACCACAGCACTTCACCTGGCACCATTACCTCCCCCACGCCCTTCACCTGGTCGTTGGGCTGCGGAACGACAAACATGCCTTCCTGGACCTCAAAAGCATGCACTTCGGTGAACCGGAGAGGGTACATGCGCAGGAACCACGTCACACTCGTGCTGAACGCGTTCGCACCAAAGTCTATTAGCACTCGCCGCGGACTGCAGAGAGAGAATTGGGTGCGGTTGGGTGCAGAGGGGTGAGTTGGGGTGTGGTAGGGTAGGGTGGGGTGGGGTGGGGTGGGGTGGGGTGGGGTGGGGTGACGCAGGGCTGAGTGTGGTAGGCTTTTTTGGGTGTGGTGAGAACGTATAGCGAGGACATGGAACGAATGACTGGAATTGTTTTCCCTACACGTCCTCGGGTTTCGAATTCAAAAAGGCTAAATAGGCGAAAATAGGGATAGAAGGAACAAGGGGCAAGGGAAAGAGAGGAGACAGACCGGTGGGAGAGGGAATGAGGGCGAGAAAATAGGTTGGGTGGAAGGGACACAGACCACACACTCGCATCCCTCCTGCTACCAACCCAACCCCGCCCATCCTCCCACACCTGCTGATCCTCTACCTCCTGCTCCCCTCACCCACCCACCTGCGGTGCAAGCAGTGGTCGAGAGCAGCGCGGAGGTACAACAGCACGTGCGTCTTATCCTCCTCATAGTCCGCATAGCTTTAGAATGAGATGGTATGTGGACAAACCTTCCACATACCTCGAAGCCTCAAAACCCCACCTGCGGTGCAAGCGGTGGTCGAGAGCAGCACGAAGGTATGGCAGCACGTGCGTCCTGTCCTCCTCGTAGTCCGCATAGCCCAGCGTGAACCCGCGCCGGAAATTTAAGTCCGGCTCCATTGCCTCTATAGGCAGGCCCTGCACGCGGCAGGGGGAGAGAGGGGGCATCCACTGCACGGGGGGAGGGGGGGGGGGGGGGTAGGGGGAGGAGGGGGGGAAGGGGGAGGGGGAGGGGGAGGGGGAGGGGGAGGGGAAGCATCAGCAAGGAGGAAACGGGGAATTCGACTAGCTGAGGTGCCTGAAAGAATCGATCGCCCCTCGATAGGCAGGGCCTGCACGCGGCAGGGGGAGAGAGGTGGGGTTCACGTGCATAGGTGAGGAGAGAAGGAGAGCAGAGCAGCGCAATAGCATAGAAAGCAGCACAGGGAGCAGTGGAAGGAGCCGAAGAGAAAGCAGCGGAACGAGCAGAAGAAGGAGCAGCAGAAGGAGCGGCAGAGAGCAGCAGCAACCTCACACAGGCGGATCCCCACAGTATCGAATTGACACAGAACTAGCCGCAACCTCACACAGGCGGATCCCCACAGTATCGAATTGACACAGAACTAGCCGCAACCTCACACAGGCGGATCCCCACAGTATCGAATTGACACAGAACTAGCCGCAACCTCACACAGGCGGATCCCCACAGTATCGAATTGACACAGAACTAGCCGCAACCTCACACAGGCGGATGGATGTATCGACTCACGGGGCTCCGTTTCCCTGTGTTAAGAACACCTCGATCCTTACAGACGTGTAATTTCTTAGAGAGTCGACTAAAACTCACGTGTATGGCAGCATCACATGGATGGCAGCATCACTCACAGGGCTCCACGTGGATGGCAGCATCACTCACAGGGCTCCACGTGGATGGCAGCATCACTCACAGGGCTCCATTTCCTGGTGTTGGGAATCCCACGCTCCTTCAAAGGTACGTGAATCCAATCATTACACGGCGGTCCTTCCTCTCCTCCGCCTTCCCCGCCCTCCCCCCAGCGCACTTGCTGCTGTTGCTGATCGGCCAAGGTCATCTGCACCCGCGAAACCTGCCCTGCAACAGCTTGGTTCGCGTCGCCCGAGCCTGCTCCCACGCCGAACCTCTGGCTGAAGCTCGGCAGCGTGGAGGGCGAGAGCATCTGCACGAGGAGGAGGAAGAAGGCGGTGAAAGCAGCCGCTGTTGCGACGACGGCCCATGTGAGCAGGAACGACGGTCCCTTGCTGCTCATGCTCATCCTGCTGCCGCTGCTGCTACCGCCGCCAGTCAGGCCGCGAAACACGGAGGATGGGTACTACAGTAGATCCCTCCTGTCCTCCGGATGCTTGGTCGTCGCCGGATTGGGACGCTTTCCTTGTCGTCGGGTTATTGTCTACGGAACCCAGACGATGCTGCTGCTGCTGCTGCTGCTGCTTCGCCTGGTGTTGTTGTTGCTGCTGCTAGTTTTCGCGTTGGTGTTGCTTGCGGTAGTTCGGCGGGATTGGCGAGAAGCGACGGAAAGAACGGAGCTTGGAAGAATTTCGCCGGAAGTTGGTCGGCTTTCGTGTGAGAATTGGTGATGCTGTTTGAGTCCACCTCCTTGCTGTTGCTGCTCTCCTTTCGTGCTCGCAAGACCAAATCTCAAAAAGCGAGTCGCGAACGTCTGGAATGGAAGGCGGATGTGTGGGAAGGTAAGAAATTTATGATTAGCGAAAACAAGGCAATGGCAGAACATAAGCCATCGTGAAATGGGCGAGGACTGTCGGGAGAAACCAGATTTGGATTGAACAAGAATGCATCGAGGTCCCTTCGGCTGAAGCTGAATTGGAAACGGTACATTTACACCTTCAGTAGACAATAGTAATACTACATTCTGTAAAATATGTTATTTTCATTCTGGAGAGGTACAACATACAGATCTAGTATCGCTGGCGCTTATATTACAGAAAGGTCAAAATGTGCAGTTCGAGTCGAGTTCAGGTGGTGCGTGTTTCACCAAACAAACCAAAATCCGCCCCAAACCTATTCAGCCACATGATGTGGTCAGGTTCGGCCACCTGTGGTTGACGAGTCTGGGAATTTGGAACACCAACCGCGTACGCTCGCGGGCCACATGAAATGGCCAGCACGCCAACCAAACCTCTCTTGCCTCAGCCCAAACAGGTTGCGGAGCTCCCTTGGGCGTCCAAACCGTGGTTCTGGTTTGGTACGGCTGCGAGGCACACCTGTTCCCATCATTATCTCCAGAGATTTCGATCCGTGTACTGCTTGGTTGGGCACCTGTACTGTACCCGTACAGTACCGAGTTCGGCCGGGCAGGAAAACGGTTCCTGCCAAAGTAAGAAAAACGCGAGCCACAGAAGTAAAAGAATGGCAGTGGAGTTTTCGCTCTGTTGCCGCCGTATTCTCTTGCTGCTGCGACTGTACTGGTGGAATTCAGGATTCCTTCGGGAGAATCGCGCCATTGCTGGTTCACCCCCCCTTCCCCAAATCCCTGGCCTGCACTGCTCAAAATGAAGAATGGAAGCTTTCTTGCCCTCAGGAGGTTTTCCATTCAATCGCCGTCACCTTGGGATTAGGTTGGAACGCCACGATGATACAGAGCATCATTCCCTCCACACAGCGAAATTTGGTTTCTCCTACTCCTATCTCCTAGAGCTGATTGCTCCTGGTTCTGCATTTCCGCTTCTGCTTTACCCCTTCCAATTCTTCCTACTCGCACAGGGAAGGGCAGGTAATCAGGAGAGAGAATCGTTGTGTAATTCCTTAATGTCTATCGCAACGACTAATACACAAGGTTCGCAATAATGAGCTGCAGGTCTTGGTAGGTAGGAACACCATGCCAGCCTCCTTAACCCTGTCCTATTCGATATGGATTAATATTATTTAATATATTTCAACACCGGAACGCCGGCCGGCCGTGCTACCGTATCCTATACCAGAGCGTCTACGCACGTTTCATCACCCTCCGTCCCTGATGGGTCTCGACATTAATCTGCGACGCATCCGTCGCTTACGCGTGACCGTAGCCGCCGCAGACGCTGCGGCGAACGCGGCTCCGCCAGTCGAGGTTGTTCCGTCTCCCCGCGATGTCTGGGAGGCCGCAGAAGCCGACAAGCTGGCCCCGTGGTCCCAAAAATCGTCGGAGCGCGCTACAAGTGTAGGCGGCACGGCGGTGCCGTCCGCGGCTATTGTTTCTGGCCGATCTATGCTCGCTCGGAGCAGCAGCGTCGGATGCGGACCCGTTATGACCGCAGACGACGATGACGACGAGGACCTGGAGCCTAGCGACGAAGACGGCGACTACGACGACGACGAAGACGACGTTTGGGCTCGTTCGCGTGCTCGTCCGCCGCAGTCCAGAAATCGCTCAGCGGTCGCACGGACGGCATCCGACGTAACGGGCGCCTTTCCCGCCTCCGGTTCCGGTTTCGCCGCCACCGTAGCCGCCTCCTCCGCCGGCGCGGAGTTCCGCACACTTGAGCGTGCCCATTCAGGCGACGACCCCGCTCCCGCGCCCGTCCGCCGCCCTGCGCTCTCCGCCTTCCCCCGAAGTCATTCCCTCGCGGCCCCCGGCGCGCGCAACAAGCAGGTCGGCCGCGTGCCTGGCAGCGGCGGCGCGGGTGGATCCAAGCCGACGAGCAGTGGCGGATCGCGGCTTCTCAGGCGGGGGGTCAGCGAGCGCGAACCAGGAGGGGGGAGCAGCAACCGGGCGCAAGGCTCAGGCGGAGGCGGAGGCGGAGCTTCCGGAATGGAGGAATGGAGCTGGATGCGGCAGAACAGCCTGCGCGGAAGCGCTGCGTCCCGAGCCGAGGGAGCTGCGGCGGCAGCGGATTGGGTTCGGCAGAACAGCCTCGGCGGAACCCGAACCTCCCGCTTGGAGCGAAGCTCTAGTTCCAGTCTTGATAAGGACGGCGGAGAGGAGGGGGACGGCGGGGACAGCAGCGGTGAGGAATTGGCGGGTAACGGGGACGAGCAGTCGGCCGGCACTGCCGGCCCAGCTGGCCCGGCCGGCTGGGGCAGGCAGCAAAGTCTGCAGCACAATTTACGCGGTAGGTTTAATCAGAGTCACTCCGTGCGGGCGGGTAGCGATGCCGCGGGAGGCGGGGAGGACGCGACGGAATGGGGGAGGCAGTATAGCCTGCGCGGGGTAGGGCAAGGGCCGGGTGGGTCGATGGTCGAGCGCCGACGTGTGCCGCGGCTGCACGTGCGCCCAGTCGCGTCGGTCGTCGCTTCTTCCATCCGCAACCCCATGCAAATGGCCGCGCTGTCTGGCTCAGGGGGATCCGGAGGGGGAGGAGGCGGAGGTGGAGCGCCCGCCGCCATGGCTTTCCCGCGCTCGCAGTCCCTGCACCCCGTCAGGCGGTCGGTGGGGGGATCCGGGGATTGGGGAGCCGCGCGAGCCGCTTTTGCCGGACCAGGGAGCGACGAGGAGGAGGAAGCGGACGGTGAGGCGCGCCGCGCAGGTGCGGGCTGGGAAGGGGGGGCGAGGAGGCCGGGCGGGCGGAGGACCGTCGGGGGAGTTGGGGGCGGCGGGAACGACGCGGAGCCGAGGCAGTGGGAAGGGGGCGCCGTGGAGGGTGCGGGAGAGGGGGAAGCGGTGGTGTTTGAGCGCACGAGCACTGCGCCAACGGGGGAGCTGCATGCGGCGCGGTATCGGATGATGGAGCGCGAGAGCCTCCGCGCAATGTACCGCGCGGACAGGGCGCGCCGGCGGATGGAAGCAGGCTCCGGAGGCGCGGGCAGCACTGACTTCGGCCGCGGCGGAGGCGGAGGCGGGGGAGGGTGGTCGGGTAGCGACCGGGAGCGGGGGGGCGGCGGCAGGGCGGGCGCCGCCAGCCACCTGCGGTCGCATTCACTGTTGGCGGGTGGGGACGACGAAGGCAGTGACGGAGGTGGAGGAGCGGGCGGAAGCGCGGAGGTCGCAGGCGCGCAAAGGGGAAATCATCCCTACCCCGCAGTGGGCACTTCGCTTCCGCCCAGCGCACGCAGGCCCGCGCCTTCCCGCCACCATGCGGAGGCGGCGCATGCCCCCGGCGGTCCGCCGCAGGGCTACCGTGACCCTTCCGCTTCCGCGGCAGCTTCGGGCGCGGGAGCGGGCGGAAGGGGTCACCGCGTTTCGTTGTCGCTAGGAGATATGGAGCATGCGGGGGAACATGAGGGGGCTGGCGCTGGCGGCGGCGGGGGCGGGGCCCCTCTCGCGGACGCGGGCGCAGGCGTAGGCGGAGGGGGTGACGGGGCTCCCACGTGGCCCTGTCTTCCGGAAGTTTTGGCGAACAGGGCCGCGCACGCGCACGGGCACGTACCTGCCTATCCGCACAAAATTCCGCAGAGCTACAGTCAGGGCAGCGTTGGGGGTAGCCCCGCGCGCAGTCGCGCCAACAGGAGCGGCGGCGGGTACGGGGGTAACAACAGCGGGGGTGAGAGCGGGGGGGAAGAGGCAGGGGGGGGAAGCAGTAGGCGCGGGGGAGAGGTCCGGGGAAGTGAAGTGGGAGGTGCGTATACGAACAGGTTGGGTAGTGGCAGCAGCATGAGCAGCATTAATAGTGCGTTGTGGGCGGACGAAGGGAGGACGAGCAGCAATGGGGAGAGGGAGTTGGGGTTTGGAGCTGGATCGAGGTCCGTGGGAGGAGGCGGAGGAAGTGGGGGGAGTAATCATGGTACTGATGCTGCTTCTGCTGGTGCTGCCGCGGGGGTAGCTGAAGGGAGCAAGAAGAAGGGAGGGCTGGCGGGAGGCATGGCTCTTGGTGCGTCTAGGTTGCGTGAGTCGGCAGCTGCACGCATGTTCAGACGATCGCCCTCGGTCACTTGAGAAAAAGGTACGAGTGGTGTGCACATCTGGGCAGGGGGCAGGCGGGCAAGGGGAAGGGGGCAGGGAGCAGGGGGCAGGGTCATGAGGCAATAGGCAGTAGAATGCAGCTAGCTGTCTGTTCACTGAGGGTCGTGGCGACTAGATAGATATCCGAGGCTGGAGATAACTCAGAAGGTGAGTGTGTCACGACAGAATATGCGGGCCAATTCGCCCTCCCTTCACGGCAGTGCTGTCTGTGTGGTGCTCTTTACGGTGCATTGAGAAGACAAGAAAGAGAAGAAGAGATTTTGTGTAAAACTGTCACAAGGCCTTTGCATCATCACCCGAGACTGCTGTGAGATGCTATGGGTGGGGTGGTGAAGTTCGGGGTCCGGGGAAACCAGCCTGGGGTGGTGGTGCGATCTAGTGAAGCTGTTGTTGCTTGCGAGGTTCTCGTAAGTTGCATTGCGGAGAACGTACGTTGAGGACTGGACATGTCTCTGTTAGGGCATTCGGCCATTTAAGGACAGTTGAATGGGACGGTAGGGAGGGAATTGTGAGAAAACGGAGCTCTAGAGGTGAGGGGGAGAGAGAGAGGGGGAGGGGGGGGGGGGGGGGGGGGGGGGAGGGAGAGGGATGGGAGGAAAATATTGAGGCAGAGCAGGGCCTGACATGAGTTGATTCTACTTTTCGTATAAGGCGGGTACACATACAGTGTTGCTGTTACTCTGTGCATATACATGATCAAATCTGCAGCCGGTGGTGTTGTTTGCAACTCTCTGTACAAGAAGGGATTAATAGTAAAACAATCAATCAAGCTGCTCGCGTTTCTTCGCTTGTGTTATGCGTTCTAGTCCACCTGCCGTCGCCCTTTCTGCCCTGACAATCGTCTACCATGTGGGTAACTACCCACCATCTCATTTCCATACTCTCCTGCTGCTCTCCCTGCTTCCTTTTCCTGTCCATCCCGTACCCACATATCTCCCTGGTGCTCTCATCCTGTGTGGTTCTTGTTTCAGGCTTGTGCATCGTTCAACCAGGATGGCTGATGTTAGCAATGGGTTGTTTGGACATCCGTTGGTTCGATTTCATATACAGCATCTGTGCCCGTATATGATAAAGAAGGCATTGGGATTTTGAAGGATAAGCCGTGTGACTGTATGTGTGTGTCGCAGTTCCAGCCCGCTGCATGCATGGCCTCTCGATGTATGTTGGGAAAATGCTGCTGTAGATGAGCAGAGCAGCAACTCAGCAGGCAGGGCGATGCAGCAACTCCAGTTCTTTTTCTTGCTCTGGTTTCTAATGCCCTGAAACTGTTTCTCGCTGATAGTACTGCTGCAGGTCCCTTCTACAATATGTAGGTTGCTATGCTTCCATCTTTCGGTACAATGTTTCTTCTGACACTCTTTCTTATTTAATGGATCAATCTTATACTACTATTTGTTTCCCGAACAAGTTCATTGATCTGCGCCCTTGACTTTGTACACTAGCAGTGCAGTACAGTTCTCCACTCTCCTCCATCATCTGCCTCTAGTCTGCCGATAATGTAACCGTGAGGCGAGGCGACCTGGAGGACGACAGGATCGCAAATGGGTGACCACGCAGCAGCCGGTGTTATGAGTTGTATGAAAGAAGAGTGCGCAGAATGCAATATCGCGGAAGTGATTACAACTACTGAGCAAACAACGAGGCCTAGGTATAATATAGCACAGCTAGCTAGGCCGAGGTCGCGGAGTCGCGCGAAGGTTGGGTGCAGGTTTGGGGTTGGGAAACCCGTGGGCGACGCGGGAGACGTTCGGAAGGCGAGGTCGTCGGACCGAGCCTGAATTCCGAAAGTTGGAATTGTACGCGTAAGAGATGCCTCAGTAAGGAATTAGCGAAATTCCTTACACTACCCCCCCCCCCCTTAAGAAAGGTGGTCGATATCAGGCACATGTCGGCGAGAAAGATACTGCCGAAGTACCGAGTGCCCTTGTAGTGAGTCAGCCGGGACCCACGTGTCATCGTCGCTTGTGCGATCCACCCATCGTAGCAGGAAGTCGACGTGGCGTCCGGCGGGGGTCGCACGAATGCGATGGTTCAATATCTTCCAAGGTTGAAGCGTCGGGTCTGCCACAGGTCGGACACTTGGCGCCTGGTGGGGTCGGGCGACGTCGGACGACTGCGGTGCCACATAGTGGCGAAGTAAACTGACGTGGAAAGCGTCGTGGATTTTCCAGTCGCCCGGTAGGAGAAGTTTCGCAGTGACCGGTGTCAGCATCCGAAGGATGCGAAAGGGTCCCACGTAGCGGGGACGCAGTTTTGCAGGCTGGGGCAGCTTGAGGTTTTTTGTGTCCAGGAGGACCATCTGCCCGTCACGGAAGGGTAAAGTCCGTCGATGTCGGTCGGCGTAGCGGCTGGCGGCCGTATTAGCCTTCCGGATAAATTCCGCTGCTTTGTCTCGCGCTGCTTGTAGTTCCGAAACAAACTGCTGCGACCTTGGTACCGGGTTATCGGGAGTTGTTGACGAGGGTACTACCGGATCTATCCCGTAATTCAGGTAGAACGGCGACTGCTTGGTTGTTGCAGATGGGGCGTTATTGTACGCAAACTCGAGCATGGGAAGGGAATCCTCCCACTTGGTGATGTCGGGGCAGTTCGTGCGAATCAACTGCTCCATCGTCTGGTTTGTCCTCTCTGTCTGTCCGTCGGTCTGTGGATGGTACGACGACGAAAACTGCAGGCGGGTGCCGTACTGTGCCCACGTCTCCTGCCAGAACTTCGACGTGAATTTTGGGTCGCGGTCGCTGATTATCGCCGATGGCAACCCGTGTAGTCGTACGACGGTCGAGATGAAGAGCTTCGCTGTTTCTTCGGCTGTGATCGTCGTGCGGCATGGTGCGAAATGCGCCATTTTCGTTAAGCGATCGACGACGACAAGTACCGAGTCGTTGCCACTTGCGCCCACCGGCAGTCCTGTGACGAAATCCATTGTCACCTGTTGCCACGGTCGTTCGGATGGCTCGAGGGGTTGCAGCAATCCAGCTGGGCGTTAGCGTGATGACTTCATTGCTTGGCAGGTCGGGCAGGCGGACACGTAGTGCTGCACGTCGGACGCCATGCCGGGCCAGTAATAATTCCGTTGCAGCAGCTTCAACGTTTTGTCGACGCCGAAATGCCCGGAGAGGTTGGAGTCGTGTACTTCCTGCGTCAGCAATTCTCGTAAGGGTCGGTAGGAAGGTACCCAAACTCGGTTAGTACCGACTTTTAGGTAGTAGCTCCCATGCGCCGTGGTGACCCCGTGGTGTTGATTGGTCCGGAAAAACCGGTCAATCCTGTAGCCATGCTTGAATAATCCTGTCAATAAAGGGTTAGAATGGGCGATTAGTACTGCTGCGGTCTGCATTGATGGTCGGGTCAGGGCGTCGGCGATGTTGTTGGCGCCCTTTTTGTACGTGATGGTGTAGCTGAAATTGGACTCGAGGTAGTCGAGCCACCGGATTTGTCGCGGATTGAGTTGTGGTTGGTTGCGCATGTATTGTAATGACTTGTGGTCGGTTCGGACGGTGACGTCAGCTCCCGTGAGGTAACAGCGCCAGGTACGAAATGCATGCATGATGGCGAGCATTTCCTTGTCGTGGACCGGATAGTTGCGCTCGGGCGGCTGCATTTTTCTTGATTCATACGCGATGGGTTGCAGCCCGTTGCCGAAGTCCTGTAGTAGCACAGCGCCCACGGCGAAATCGCTGGCGTCCGTCACGACTTCGAACGGTCGAGATGGATCTGCTAGCCGAAGCACCGGGGGTGAACTCAAAATTTTCTTCAGCTCGTTGAAAGCCAGCTGTTCTCTCTCCCCCCAACAGAATTGCACGCCCTTATGCAGAAGATCGGTTAACGGCCTGGTCACCCCCGCCATATTCGGTACAAAACGGCGGACGTAGTTAACGAAGCCGAGGAAACTCTGCAACTCCGTGATGTTCGTGGGCGGCTTCCACTCCGAAATCGCCGTCACTTTGCGAGGGTCAATTTTAATGCCCTCCCCTGAAATCACGTGCCCCAGGAACTCCAGCTCCGACTGTAAGAACTCACACTTAGAGCCCTTAGTAATCAGTCGGTTCTGCTGCAAGCGCCAGAACACTTCCTCTAAGTCCTGTAAATGCTGCTCCCGAGTCTTGCTATACACCAGGATGTCGTCCAGATAAACGATAACTTTTTTGTCCAGCATGTCCCGAAACACCCCATTCATGGTGAGCTGGAAAGTCGAGGGCACGTTCGTCAACCCGAACGGCATCACAGTGTACTCGTAACTGCCGTAGCGGGTGCGAAACGCAGTCTTCGGGCAGTCGTCGGCGAACACGCGAATTTGGTGGTAGCCACCTCGCAAATCGATTTTCGAGAAGAAGCGAGCCCCGCGAAGCTGATCCAGCAGGTCGTCCGCTCGTGGGATCGGGTAACGTGACTTGATCGTGACCCGGTTCAACGCTCGATAGTCGATGCACATGCACAGGCCTCCGTCCTTTTTCGGTGCGAACAGTATCGGGGCGGCGTATGGTGACGTGCTCGGCCGGATAAAACCCTTCGAAAGCAGATAATCCAGCTGTTTCCGCAACTCGTCGAGCTCCGGTTGGCTGAGCCGCCACTGTGACCGAACAGTTGGTTTTGCGCCTGGCTCCAGCTCGATCCTGTGGTCCTCCGGACGCTGAGGTGGCAGCTCGTCAGGCAGGTCATCCGCGAAGATTTCGGGATACCTCCGAATTATGCTCGCCACGTCGTTGGGTACAGCAGCGCAGAGCGTGTCGATGTCGGCGATTTTTTCGGAAGCCACCACCTCGTACAGCTGTACGGCGTAGCCTTGCGCTCCCCGTTTTATCGCCCTCTTCATCGTTATTGCGTTGACACGTGTTGTCATCGGCTCCGGCTCCGCCCATTTCGGAAGTGTCACGCGCCCCTTGTTGCACAGCACCGTGATCGCCCCCGTCGTCCAGTCGATCGTCGGATTGAAACGCTGTAGCCAATCTCATCCCAGCAGCACATCGCAACCG